TAATGTATGTTTGTATTTTGTATGATCCATCCATGCATCCATCCATCCATCCAATTCCACAGCACAGGCACCCTAATAGCGAAAGCAGTCTCCTTTGATCTCGAGCCCAGATTGTAGCGCCACCAAGAGGGCCTTTCCTGGGTATCTAAGGCTGCATTCTGGCTCATAAAGAGTTCAAAGGTCTGGGGGATAGACCTTTCTGTGCTCTATAAGTAATCAGTGGGATCTTAAAATCAATACTAAATCTTATAAAGCACCTATTGATGCCTTATTCTGCATGATCATATTATCCAACTACTAAGCCATTAACAGCATGCCAATAGGGAACTAATTAATGTGTACCATGATATAAAGTTTTAGCAATACTTACCATTAACTTTTAACTAGAAGTAACTAATAGTATTTCACTAATTAACTGCTTATATGTAACTGTAGCAGGATAATGTGTATTGGCCATTACAGGGCCGATCAACAACAAAGAAATCATTAAGCAGCAAAACTGTAGTTTTAAAGTTGAAAAGAGTAAAAGTTTTTTACTCTGAACCATTTCCCTGTATCAACCTGGACTGTGTGCGGGAACTTTTGGAGGTGTAAAATATCAAAGAACATTAACATGATCCTGTCGGCGTGTCGGAAGATTTAAATAATCAATGAAGTTATAATGCTGTGCCTCGTGTGTAAATGCACACAACGTCTCATTTATATTCGTTGTGTGTGTGTAGATTATTTGTCATACATTCCATTGAACTTATGCTCTGATAGATCATATTTCTAATTGTGCAATAGGTTAGGGCTACGTGTGGGAGGGGATTTTGTTCAAATATATCAAGCTGTAATTCAAAGTGTATTTGTATAACCTAAGAAGCTAATAAAAATACTACAAAACAGAATAATTATTTGAACAGTAAATGTTCTTACCTCTGAAGTGACAGAATTGATGCTGGTGCCATCCGAGAGTCCGTTCCTGCGATACATGCTCACAGAGGGACTGGTGGGATGTCAGGGCAACAGAGGCCTTCAGCTGGGGGGCACACATAACCTCTCATCCATGCCTGCAGACAGAGGACACAAGTCTTTTTGTTTGTGTTTGTTCATTAGATTTTCTCTTAATCTTCTTTAAATACCAATGTTTTCCACACTGTTTGACAGTTATTATGAACAGTTTTTTCTGTATGTGTTTGTATTTTTATTATTCAATGTGAGTAAAGTATTCACTCCAAGGAGACCAAGTTTTGGCTGCACCGTCACATCAGTTAGAAATACTGTAGATGTAAATTGTTTTATACATATTCAAAACTCCTTTGTTCTCCTTTGGGAACAGGACACCAAACTACGGACAATATTAAAATAAAAAGTAATTATCTATTATTTATTTCTCTTCCTTATTTTTTATAATGTTTTAATTATAATTATGATTATCATTATTAGACAGCCCACAGTAGAGAAAGGAAAGAAAGTGACATGCACTCAGTGAACCTGTGACGTTGGGGTTTAGGGTCAGCATTGAGGAACTCAAGAAACACATCAAATAAGTGTGCTTACAGGTGTTGGGGAGTGCGACTGCATGTGAGAATAAAGTTGTAAAAAGCCTTTTGTGTCTCCTCAGGGAGCTGTGTGTCTGGCTGCTGCTGCCCCTGGCTGTCAGAGTTATCTCTATTAGAGGAAATCAGCAGTAATGTCAAACAACTTTCCTCTCATTTTAACCAGACGATTAGCAACCATCAAGATCAAAGTTTCACCTCAAAGTCAACTCTTTTATGTTCATCAATCATATCTACTCTCAATCATGAATCCATTTCTTTCTAATAGTAATACATTTAGTGATTATTATTCATTACTTCACCTGTTCCATAATGGGTTAACACTGGCAGCTGACGGCGGTTTAACGAAATAGACTAATATGGGGAAGCAATGAAGAAATTAAAATAGATGGATAAAAGAAAGGGAGACTTAAAAAAGACATGGATATATTTTAAATTAGAAATGGATAAATACATGAATAAAACTCTAGCCCGTCCTAGCTGTGCTGAATTCACACATACACTGGCACACATTATGCAAGTCATTTTCCTGCAAGGTTTGCACATTATTTAAACTGGCTGAGACATTCTGAAGTATAGAACTAATAAGTAAACCTGCCACAAGAAGGCCCACGTGCAAACAGACTGCCTTACAAGTCCAGGTCCTGCACACTGGGTGGCTGTTGTCAGTGTCACAGTGCCCTCTAATGTGCAACTGAAAGGCTGCAGGTGGGTCACACCAACCCTTACTAATGTAGATACATTACACACAAACTGAACACCATGATATTATGGGCATACAACATGTACAGAATTGTTTGGGGTATTTCTTGTTGTTTTGACAGACAGCAGGCAGTTGTGCCATGCAAGCTGTCCATCCTTCACTGTTAGAGCAGTCACTTATCTGCACCAAGTAAGGCACTGCCATCTCACCTTTGTCTTTAAGACTACAAATTTCTAACAGAAAGCCAGCGTTTCAACGTGGTGGTGTGGTCTACCAGGCAGAAAGGGTCTAATGAAAAGATGCTTTTATACTAACAATCAGGGTATCCCGCCTATCTTTGCTCTGTGCCACAATAACAGTTGAGAGCAAGGCTCGGTCAGAACCTCGGTCCTCAGAAGATGGTTAAAAGATAAAAATAGTCACATCTTAAGTTAGTTAATGTTAGCAAAGTGTTAGCTAACTAGCTAACTACGAATGGAGGTAAATTACCTAGCATTTCACTAACATCAGCTTTCAGATGAGACTAGCTAGCTAACAAAAAATGTAAATTAGCTAGCTACATTTTAAGGACCAGTGTGTTGGAACGCATAAACTCCACATCAGACGGCTTAGTTAGCCTGTTCTAAAGCATTGATCTGAGTCCATACAGACTGTTTGATTGGAGATTAATTTTGGAGACTAAGATTGACAGGTCCCTCTTTCATGTCAGAATCACTTTTATTGGCCAGGTATGCGTACACATAAGAATTTTACTCACTATACATACACAGAATGTGGTGATGAATTTACTTTTCAGGAAAGACTGAAACTTGTGTGTACATGAGGAAGTTATTTTAGAAGCTGTATCTAAAAATATTGGTAATAGTGCTGCAGGCTCACTGCGAACAACATTAGATTCTATCGCCCCTATAAAAAGGAAAATATTAAAACATAGGAGACTAGCACCGTGGTACAACCACCAAAC